TACCGCCCACTAATGACTTTAAGAGTCACCAAGCAGCTGCTACGAGACCAACTCTGATGCTCAAAAAGCATCTGATTTGAATGCTGAGAAGGCTTATAGAGTTAGTTTTGATCCTTTTGACTTACCAAGTGATGTTAGAACCCTTGCTCGAATTGTTTATTCTGCGCATGGTGGTGAGATAGCTATCTCGTTTCTTCGGGGTGGAGTGCACATTTTTTCTGGTCCAAATTTTACTCCTGTTGATAACTACCAGATTAATGTTGGATCTGCCATTGCTGCCCCTGCCTTCTCTTCAACAAGCTGTTGTTCAGCTTCTGTTTGGCACGACACTAGCAAGGACCGTACCATGTTGAAGATAATCCGCGTTCTTCCTCCTGCTGTTTCAAGTAGTCAGATAAAGGCAACTCATCAACCTGGGAACGCGCTATTGCTGAGAGGTACATAATTAGCTAATCTATGCTCAGGTACCGCCTTGATGGATTTTTATTACAACTATTATCAATGTTGTTTGGAGTAGGTTTTGGTGGAGCCTTTTGGTTGGAGTTGATTGGTGGGATGCCGTTGGCTGTACACAGAGTGCTGCTGAGGATGGCATTGGTAAACAAACTTTCATCAACTTTTAATTTTTTGACCGAGTGTGAATCATATTTTTCCTTGGCATATGCATTTTACATTACCATCTTTGCTTACTTGACTCCTGTTTTTGATGTTTTTTGTCCTTTTCAGTTTCTCTGAACAGTGTGATTGCCGTCTTAGATGCGGATTTTCACTCTCTTCCTTCTATTCAGCACAGGCAACAGTATGGACCAGTATGTCTTTCATTAACTTTATTTTTGCAGTATCTGGTCGGCTATTGCTTTTGACATGATTTAGTTCTAGTTTGCTATTAACTTTGCTAATTATTACCTGGTTTAAAGAAGCTGTGCCAAGTGCTTAAACCCTCATCTAATGAAGCCATCATGCAATCAGCTTCTTGGAAAAGAACCCTTCCTCGATAACCTACATGTTCTGTCTGTCTAATTCTGCTTCCTTCTCTACTGTTTTTGAATATATTGTTGGCTTGAAAGTTCAATATTATCTTTACTGAGCTTTGTATGATTAGTTTTATTTATTTCATTTTACCTGCTTCTTGAGTCGTCTTTATACTTTGCAGAGTCTGGACAGGATAAAGTGCAGGCTACTGGAAGGTACAAACGCCCAAGAGGTTAGGGCAATGGTTCTAGATATGCAAGCAAGGTTGTTGTTGGATATGCTAGGGAAAGGAATTGAATCAGCTTTGGTTAATCCTTCAGCCTTAGTAGCAGAACCGTGGCAGGCATCTGGTGAGACTTTATCCAGCATTGATCCTGAATCGATGGCTGTTGATCCAGCCCTTGTTCAGAGTATTCAGGTGTTGCCTCTATGTTCGACTTATCTCCAAATGTATTGTGTCTTTTGTTGGGCTGAAATTTTACTTTTGAAAAAAAGTAGTACTCGCTGTCCTTTCTTTTGATTTTGCTTTATCCCCCCCCCCTTTGTTTCACTTATAAATTAGCAGCTTTTTCATAGTGCAGCATAAGGTTATATGGTTACCTAAACAATTCAAATCTCGGCATATCAAAATATTCTTATCTGTTCTACCACTAGCACTTCCTTTCAGCAGGGCTAAGTAAGTTGTACTTCTCGTCGATGCAATATGCAGGCTTATGTTGATGCTGTTCTTGATCTGGCTTCACATTTTATTACGCGTCTGCGACGTTATGCAAGTTTCTGTCGTACGTTGGCAAGCCATGCTGTTACTGCAGGTACCGGAAGCAATCGCAATATGGTAACAAGTCCTACTCAAAGTTCGGCAACTCCAGCAACTAGTCAGGGTGGGTGGCAATTGTCTTTTGATATCCAAAATTTATTAATAGAAATTGTTTTTCTTCTTCTCTCTGCTCTATCGGGTTATGCTGAAGAAGTACAAGTCTCTGTTACCCTTGTAGAATTATAACTTGAAATTTGCTGTATTTATATGCCTAAGCCAGCTATGTTTTTACAGCTGGTCAAAGTGGTACCACAAGTTCGACGGGAAGCACACAGATGCAAGCTTGGGTACAGGGTGCTATTGCTAAGATTAGTGGCTCAACTGATGGAGTCTCCACTTCAACTCCGAACCCCATAAGTGGCCCCTCTTCCTTTATGCCAATTAGTATTAATACAGGAACTTTTCCTGGAACGCCTGCTGTTAGGCTCATTGGGGATTGCCATTTTCTTCATAGACTATGTCAACTTCTACTTTTTTGCTTTTTCTTTCGGCGAGCTCTACAACCTCGTTTTGCACAAAGAAATACTGATGCAAATCCACAAAAACCTCAGCCCGGTGCTCTTGGGAAAATGGAGGAGGTCAATTCTGTTGTTGCTAAGCCAACAACTATGACTAGGCCTGATGAAGCTCAAGGAGCACGAGGTGGGCAGTTAGTACCTGGAGGTAAAGGTGCTGAGGATGGTCCTGCTGGTAGATTAAAGATAGGTTCTGGAAATGCTGGTCAAGGATACACTTTTGAGGAGGTAGTATCTGTGTATTTCCATTACGTACCACTCACCAATTGTTGTCTCTAGATAGAATATTTGGGTAGTTTTTTGGAATATCATGTTCATATGCTGAAAATGTTTCCTTAGAAACTGTGTTCTGGAGTCCCAAGTAATGTTTAGGATTATGCCTTGAGGAATGGCTGCCTGGATTGATACCTTGACATAACAGGCCTCCTATGTTGCTATGCAGGTGAAGGTTCTTTTCCTCATTCTTATGGATCTTTGTAGGCGCACCTCTGCTTTAGCACGCCCATTACCAGTTTCTCAGGTGGGGAGCAGCAGTATCCAGGTGCGGCTGCATTATATTGACGGAAATTATACAGTATTGCCCGAGGTGGTAGAGGCATCCCTTGGCCCACATATGCAGGTAGGTAGATTTAATCATGCGAGTTACGAGACCTAGTTGTGTAATGCTGTCAGTAATTGTTGGGCAGTTCATAAATACCATAACTCATGATTTGCATTTTGTAGTTAGTGAGATATACTGATAGAGCAAGTAATGTTTCTGTGTAGTTTGCTATGGATATATGGGTATCTATCGTTCTGTTTCCCTAATCTTCTGAACCTACAGAGTACATGGTAGATTTTATGTTAATGAAAGCAGTTTTAATTTGCATAATGGAATCCTCTTTAGAAAAAGTAAAAAAAAAAATGAAAAAGGATTTTGTAGAAAGTTTTTGTGCGAGTAGACATTAGGTTTTCATTTTGGTTCTTCTACACTTAGATATTCTAATTATTTGAGTTCCGGATTCCTCAGAATATGCCTCGGCCTAGGGGTGCAGATGCTGCTGGTTTGTTATTGCGAGAGTTAGAATTGCACCCCCCATCGGAAGAGTGGCACAGACGGAATATGTTTGGTGGTCCATGGTCAGATCATGAGGATCTGAGCTCAGATGATAGTCCCAGGCTAAGCAATTCCGTTGACTTACTTGATAGGAGCACATTGGAAAGTTCTAATGTCCATAATGGAGCACAAACCCTCTGGCCAAGGAAGCGTCGCCTGTCTGAAAGAGATGCAGCATTTGGATTAAACACTTCTGTTGGTCTGGGTGCATATCTTGGTATAATGGGATCTCGACGAGATGTTGTGACTGCTGTGTGGAAGACTGGTCTTGAAGGTGTTTGGTACAAGGTTTGAGGTTTTCTTAAACATTTACTTTTAACTTGTTTGTTTGTCTATGTCAGTATTTACTTGCTCTAGAGTTACCACACGGAACCCTTTTAATTCCTATCAACCGGGACTGGGAAGGTTTCTTGTTCCCACCTGTTGATAAAAAGAATTCATTTAGTTCATGCATGAGTTTACATGTTCCTCGGTATTACTTTGAAAATTGTGGTGTCAAATAGAATAATAAGATATGACAGGAGCTTAGACTGATATTTTGCTTGGAAAGACGACTTAGTTTATGAAGGCATGCTTATTTTGAGACAATGATATGTGCTCCTTTTGTCGGCCACGGCATTAAGTGTTGGGGCAGAAACGAGTCATTTTGATATATTTTTTTCCCTTCTTTGTTCCCGACTTCTATCTTTGACTCTTTCTGATGAACTTCCTTTTAATAAAAATATCTGTCGGTGTATATCGTGCAGTGCATGAGATGCTTGCGACAGACTTCAGCTTTCACTTCCCCTGATTCTCCCAACCAGCCTAGTCAAAACGAACGGGTGAATTGGTGGATCAGTCAGTGGGCCTATGGTTGTCCGATGTGCGGTGGACCTTGGGTTCGAGTCGTGTAGAGGATGCCAGCTGAAATATAGATTCTTTATCTGGGATTCATTTCGGTTCCTCTTTTCTATGTACGGGTATGTCTCGGAAGAGAGAGCTTTCGGGTATAGCCCTCCATGGCTTTAGAAGTTGTTGCAGTTTAAGCGTAAACATAGCAACAAATGATTGGTTCATAACCTCCAGAACCTGTTTCTGTATAAAAACTTGTTGATAAAATGATTTTAGGTTTTTACTTGTTCAACATACGGTAAATAGACTAAAATTTATTCTTTGAAGGCAGCTGTTGATTGCAAGGGAGTGAATATATAATATCATGCATAGGTTAATACGTAGAAAATTGACTAAAATTTATTCTTTGAAGGCAGCCGTTGCCGTTTTTAGTTCAGGATAGAAGTAGACTAAAGTAATTAAGTTGATATAAATGGATAGTTTAGGGATGTGATACAGATGAGACGACTCGAGTTTAGTTTAATTCGATTTGAAAAAGTTCAAAACTCGAATTTAAAATCATCAATTTGACTTGAAAAAGTTCAAAATTGGACTCAGATTTAAAATCAAAAATCAAAACTTGAGTTATACATTTTTAGATTTCATTCAGTTTCAACTTTGTATTTTGGTTAAAGGTTACTGTTAGTCTTTGTATTTTGAGATACTTAAAAATAAACAATTTTGAGGCATTGCGGTGGGTTTAGGGGCATGATAAGTTCAGAGCCAAATTAGTAAGGAAATCCAATCTCATGAAATGTCCAAAACGAACTACTTAAGAAAAGGGTTGATTTTGATTAATGGTACGAAATCCTTTCAAGCAAAATATCAAATGGTAAAATGAAATACAGTAAGAAACCAATCCTTGAGGAAAACAAAAAAGAATGGGGCAGGAAAACAACCATGGTAAATGTGCCCCGCAAGCAATTAAGCTGTTGATGTTGCCTCTGGTTCTGCAACAGTTTCGTCCTTGGCAGCAGTAGCATCTTGTTCGGGAGATGAACTACTTGCAACGGTCGCAGTGGTGTCTTTCGTAGATGAAACAGTTGTTCTTTTTTCTGCAGATGCTGTTCCGTTTGATGCAATACTGTTTGCGTTTTTTGCATCTTTTCCATCTTTAGCATCCTTCTCTGGTGCGGGTGGGGGTGTAATCATGTGAGGTGGGGGGGAATGCTTCAGCTTCACAAGAATGTGCCGCAGTCTTGAAAGATCGGTTGGCTTTCCGGGCTTCGGACCCTGAATGACAGTTACTGATGGCTTCTTGTCTGCGTCCTTCTTTCCTCTTTTCTTGATATTAGGGACCTCACGAGGAATGAGTTCTGCTATCGCGGTCCAGTACTGTTTTTCCGCAGTCTTATGGAACTTCTCTTGGTCAGCCACATACAGCTGCTCCAAGCCCAGAAGAAAATCCAGTAATGAGATAAAGCTGGCATTATCCAACGGGCA